CTTTGTAGCCCAGGCTGGTCTTGAACTCACAAAGATACTCCTGCCTCAGCCTCCCAAGTGCCCCATCACATCCAGCAGTTTTGTTTTTCTTAAGACAGGGTCTCATGTAGTTCAGGCTGGCATTGAAGTCACAGTGATCTTCCTGCCTCAGTCTCTTAGTGCTGGGATTATAGGTTTGTACCACCATGCTGGGTGAGAAGGTAGCTTTTTTGTTTTTGTTTTCCTTCTTTTGGTTATTTGAGACAGTGTCTCACCATGTACTCTAGTCCTTGAATTAGCTACAAAGGCCAGGCTGGCCTCAGACTTGCAATCTTTCTGCTTCAGCCTCCCAAGTGGTAGAATTACAGGCATATGCTACCATGCCCAGCTGAGGTCATGCCTAGCTGAGAAGGTATTATTTTAAAATATAAGAAAGTGCTTCAGACGCAGTAAGAAGGCTATTATTTTTAAAGAAGGAAAATAAGGATAAGCAAGGGGATGGAGAAAAGAGAACTCTTATATACTTGCTGGTGGAAATGTAACCTGCTGCAGCTGCTGTGGACACAGTTTGGCAATTCCTCAAAAACTTAAACAGGGAACTACCATATGATTCAACAATTTCACTTCTATCTTTAAGAACTGAAAACAAGGACACAGCATATTTGTACACCAATCTTCATAGTGGCATTATTAACAACAGCCACCATGCATGATGGCATATGCCTGTAATCCCAGCACTCAGGAGGCTGAGGAAGGAGGATCACTGCAAGTTCAAGACCAGGCTGGGCTACAAAGTGAGCTCAAGACCAGCCTCAACTGCATAGCGAGACCATGTCTCATAAAACAACAACAACAACATAAACCAGCTAAAAAGTGGGCAAAAAACCCACAAATGTCTATCAATAATTAGTAAATAAACAAATGTGGTATGCATAACACAGAACAACCTTAAAGGAAAAGAGCCAGGCACAGTAATATACTCCCACAGTCCCAGCTACTTGGTAGGCTGAGGCAGGAGGACTGCATGAGCCTAGAAGCCGGAGGTCAACCTAGACCACATATCAAGATCCTATTTTTAAAAAGAAAAAGGAAAAAGCGGGGGAGGATTCCACCATACACAACGTGTATGAACCTCAAAGAATCACAGAAGACAAATATTGTATGACTCCACTTATATAAGGTATGGAGTCAATTCACAGGGACGGGAAGTAGAATGGAGGTTGGGAGAGCAGGAAACAGCTGGGTCTTAGTAAGCACCAAGTAATGAGCATGAAGTTCTATAGTTCTGAATGTTACTGAACGCCACTGAATTTTACACCCAGAGATGGTTAAAATGGTAACTTTTAAACCAGGCACAATGGCACACCCCTGCAATCCCAGCACCTTAGAGGCCAAGGTAGCACAAACTCAAGGCCAACCTGAACTATATAGCAAGACCCTGTCTCAAAAAAAAAAAAACAATCAAAAAGGTAATTTCATGTTATGTGTACTTAACTACAATTTTTAAAAGAAAATTTTTTTTAAAAATTTAATTTAAAAAATGTAAAGAAGCCAATTTATTTCATCTTCACACTCAAAGAATTGAACTAAACTCAAGTGGTTGTTGAGCAGCTACTTGGGGCAAAGTACTACATGGTCAATCCTAAAGGAATTAATTATCTAGTGATATATTCAGTTATATGGCATTTGCTTAGCAAATGGAGGCCCTAGGTTTGATTCCCCAGCACAATAAATAAATAAATAACAAGCTAGCCATAGTGGCACACACTTGTAATCCCAGCACTCAAGAAGTTGAGGCAGGACTGCTTTGAGTTCAAGGTCAGCCTGAATTATGTAGTTAGAGACCTTGTTCTCAAAAAAATGAACTAAATTTTTTTAAAAATACAAATCTCAATAATATTTGCTATTTTGGAAAAAAGATTTTTGTGAAAAAATGTATACATATGAGTATATTGTCTTGAAACAGACTACTTTAAAATTTCTTATAGTGTATATATATAGATAGATAGATATCTATCTATATATATATCTCATATATGTCTAGGTGAGATATGTATGTGTTTTCCTTTTTTTTTTTTTTTGGTAGTACTGGAGATTGAATTCAGGGCCTGGCCCAGGCTAGGCAAGCTGCCTCTGAACTATGTCCTGAGAACTTTTTAAAAAACTTTTTGAAGCAAGGTCTCACTAAATTGCTCAAGTTGACCTCAAACTTTGAATCCTGTCTCAGCCTCTCTGGTAGCTTACAGGCATGCACCACCGCGCCTGGCTTGAGTAGTAAATACTGACAGATGTTTATATAAACAAAAGCTCTTCTGGGATACTTTAATAATTTAAGAGTACAAGGGCTTGGGGTAGTGGCTCAGTGGTAAAACACATGCCTAGCGTGTGCCCAGCCATGGGGTCACTCTCCAACACCAAAAATAGTAAGAGTACAAGCCAGGTGTCACCACCTGGTGACCTAGCCACTTGCTTGTGACCTAGCCACTCAGAAGGTTGAGTCAGGACTGCAAGTCCAGGACAAGTCTGGGCAACTCAGTGAATCCTACTTCTAAAGGAAATAGAATTAGAAAGGGCTGGAGATGCAGCTCAGCACTCTCTCGGTTCAATGTCCAGCGCTGAGGGGAAAAAAAGAGTACAAAAGGCTCTGAGAGCAAAAGTTTGACAACTGCTAATCACCTAATGAGCATTACAAAAGCAGAACCAAGGATGCTCAATTCCAAAAGAAACTGACATCTTCACAAAAGAAAACACTGACTTACAGTCTATATAATGAACAATGAATATAGATACATAAAGCTACACTCTATATTTATATATTTGAGGGTGTTTTTTTTGACGGGGGCAGGGCAGGAATCCAAGAAAATGGAATTATCTCAATGTGCCTGGAAAAATGTGAGTAAAATTACAGGATTAAAAACACGAGTACTAAACTAGGCAGGGTAGCACATGGCTGTAGTCGCAGCACTGAAGAGACCGAGGCAGGAGGATCACAGGTTTGAAGCCAGCCTGGGTTACACAGAAAGACCCTGTGTCTCAGAAAGAAAAAGGGAAAAAGGAAAAGAGAAAAGTCAGTCAGTCCGTTCAGGGGCTGAGTTTAGCTCAGTTGTAGGGCTTGTGCTTAGCATGTAAGACGGCCTAGGTTGGATGTCGGGGGCAAGAAACAGATCAAATCATAAAGGTTTTTAAAATCTGTAACATTCGAGCATACGGCAAATTCACACTGCTCCCAATGTACTGCAAAACAGGAATCTAAATAGCTCTTTTGTCTAATCTCCCTCTACCTTGTTGCCTTGCGGTCCACTTCTAGTTCCTCTGCAGTCAATGATGTATTTCCAGAATATACTACAGTGCTTTCAGCTCTGTGCTGCCTGCACAAAAACAAAATAAATCCATAATAGGGGCCCCTGGGATTGGAACGGAACCGCCTCCAAAAGGCCTAGTGGTTGATCTCTGAGTCGATCAAATATTTCTTGGAAGAAAGCCAAGCAAATGGAAAACAGACGTTGAAACAAGCCAGTCTACAACTCTCTGACAATACCATTCTAAAAATGTTCTGTATTTTACAAATCTGTAACACTCCTTTCCCTATGTCTCTGTCCCTTTGCTGAAAATAAAGCAACTTTATAATGCTACCATCAGCAAAGGGATTTTTTTAATGACAGAAAAGTATCACCTCTTTTTTCCTAGCAAAGATGTGTGCCATTTATTCAGTCATAAGCAACTATAATCCCTCACGACAAGTTCTATGCAGAAATTCTGGCTGCCTTACAAAACACTGAAAAGTTGGATAAAACTACTACGCTGAATTTTTAGGTAAAGTCTCTAATTCCTTTCAGCATAGAGTGACTCCTTACCGTTCTACTCCGATAGACGTTTACAATTTCTCAGTACTCTTAACTAGCAACTGTTGAGAATTTCCTATCTGCAAGCAATTAGCTAAGGCATCTAACACTAACACACAAACACACACACACCCTAGCAGAAGCCAACACGCACACCGCTCTAAGAGGGGGCCAGTTTAAGAAGCAACACGTTCTGCATTTTTATTTTTCATAAGCAGGACAAGCTCACGATCTTAAAACATCACCACGACAGAATTCCCTCCAAGGCTGTGAGCTGGATGATCGCATTTCAGCCCTTGGAAATCAGCTCACCCTACTCCAAAGCGCCTCTCGGGTCCGTTTGGAGAACTGACACCACCAGTAGGGGGCAACCGAGAGAGACAAGTCCATCAGGAGCAAAAGGATGACAGATTGTAGGAAAAAAAAAAAAATTCAATTTTGGCGATTTCCCGCTTCCTCCACCTGACTCCAGCAATAACTTCCATTTATTCTTGGAGGTAAAATCTGGCGCCGGCTTTCCAACACTTTTCCGCCGGCGGCCACCGAAGCGAGTCGCGCAGGGGCCAGCACCGGCTCGCCGGCGCCTCGGAGGGTGTCCGCACGGCGAGGAGC